CAATGGATTCCTGGTCACTGTGGCACTAAAAATAATGAGCTTGCTGACGTACTTGCTAAGGAGGAGACAACGATTTTGCAATGCATGGACCGGCCGATGTCTTTCCACACAATGAAGACCTTAATCAGGAGAGAATTCCATACCTCAAGGTGGAACGAAATTAAAGCTCGAACGAATGAGAAACAGTGACAGTGGCAATCTCCGACATACCCGACTGGCCAAGAATCGAAACCGTTGCTGAGTTTAGACTACGTACCGGACACGATTGTCTGCCGAAGCACCTTCACAGATTGGGAGTACACACTCAACCCACATGCCCCCTATATAACCTACAGGAGGAAATGGAGAAGACCCACCTGATTCGATGTCCAGAAGACAGCTAATGAACTGCTATTAATATACTGCTATATATGTACCCCCACCCATTGGGGAAGCCCAAGTCAAAGTTTAAGGGCTAATGATAAATATCATAAAGCCTGCCATTTGAAATAATAATAATAATGATATTTATCATTAGCCCCAATGCCGAGTTATCGACTTTTTTGCCACATGAATATACGTTGTCCAGGCTGCACCACGTGGAGGTAAGTCTATTGCCCACCCTCTCCACACAATATAGTCAATGAAGCTATTGTTTTCCTCAATTGCGCCCAAGCTGTGTCGCATCCATCCATTTTGAGATTGTAATTCGAATTTATAAGACGATAAACTGTTAGACACAAGGAACCACTTTAGATGTGTCTATGACAATTTTGTGAAGACTCCAAACTCAGCTCTTTTCGTTCCTTCATTGCATGGATGTATTCAAGCCCATTACAGACATTTGACTCTGATCTAAAATGAGTTAATAATTTAATAGCCTGTGGTGGTGATATAAGACATCTCAGGTTTCATGGTTAATGGCCGAATACTTGGGTATGCTTCAAGCAGTGGAAAGATCTTATCGATATGTTCAGACACTGGTGACCTTCAATCAAGCATCTTTTCATTCTGTTCTCCCTCCACAACACCTTTGAAAGGGTCAAATAGATGTGATTGGTCAATTGCCAGCTTAGTAAAATGTCAAAGCGACAACCCGAGAAAAATAGAGCAGGTAACGTAAACAATTTAATGACAGGTGAAGAAAGATTTGTATGTGAGATCTTAGTAGTGAAGTTAACGATTTGATTTCGGAATTGGATTGAAATATCAAAACAACAGAGCTCTCAATTTATCATATGAATCAATATGAACGTGGCAAGGCGTCAATATTAAATTTAAACATTTCAACGACATGCTTAGGGAAATAAAGCCAATATATCTGAAGAAAGGCAGCTGCTTACCTTGATTGGTGAAGAGATAGAAGTTTGATTTCCTTGGTGGTAAAATGCATCCAAATGGAGAACTTTTAAGTATCTAATAATAAAAAACATTAAGAAGGCGCAATTGGAGTAAACCTTCCACTGATAAGCCAGGTCCACTGTCCCGTTGTTTTTTAATATGATTCTTTGATGGCGTGGATTTGCATCTGAGCTCTTAAGGTATGCAAATAATTAATAAAGTAACTGAAATTAAAGCAATAAATACTTAGAAAACAGCCAATTAGTAATAGTTGGGTGGCATTGAATTGAACTTCAATATGCAGTCAAGGGAATTATTGATTAGATGGCCTAAAATAGTTATTAATTTATTTCAAATAACAGGCTTTATGATATTTATCATTAGCCCTTAATCTTTGACTTCAGCTTCCCCCAAGAGGGAAGGGGGGGGGTACATTTATAGCAGTTAATTAATAGCAATTCATTAGCTGTCTTCTTGCTTCCCAGTATTTTTGGCTTTCCCTCCTTGTCTTTAGGGCTGGACACCGAATCAGGTGAGTATTCTCCATTTCCTCATGTAGGTTACATAGAGGGCATGAGTGTTGAGTGTATACTCCCAATCTGTGACAGTGTTTTGCCAAACAATCGTGTCCGGTACGTAGTCTAAACTCAGCAACGGTTTCGATTCTTGGCCAGTCGGGTATGTCGGAGATTGCCACTGTTCACTGTTTCTCCTTCGTTCGAGCTTTAATTTCGTTCCACCTTGAGGTATGGAATTCTCTCCTGATAAAGGCCTTCATTGTGTGGAAAGACATCGGCCGGTCCATGCATTGCAAAATCGTTGACCCCCTCTTAGCAGGTGTGTCAGCAAGCTCATTGCCTTTAATGCCACAGTGACCAGGAATCCATTGTAGGACCACTGTTTTGTTTTTCTCTCCCAGCAGCTCATAGAGATTTCTACATTCCTTTATCTCAGCTGTTTTGGGTGTCTCTCTATTTCCAATTGAGTTTATTGTTGACTGTGAGTCCGAAAGTATCACCGCTTTGGTGAATTTCGTATCCAGGCAACATAATTGGCTTAGTGCTATCCTAATGGCCTCTATTTCTACTTCTAAAACGGATCTATTATGTCCCGCGGCTGCGTAGAAAGAGAAGAGTTCAGAATAGACACCTGCACAAACATTTGCTTGGCTTTCTATGTATGACCCATCAGTGAAGACTTGGAGCCATTGATCTGCAGGATAGTTGACATTGATTGTCTCAAGGGCCAGTAAGCGCATTTGCTCTGGAGGAGTGTTTGATTTTCTGAAGAAGTCGAGCAGTTGGGTGCAACACACTACATCAATGTCTGCTAATGGGTTCATGGGGAGAGAGAGGCTTTTTGGTTTTTCATCGATTTGCAATTCTTTCTTCAGTTCCTTGGCTTTCTGTATTAGACCAGATTGCGTTTTCAGATGTCTTGGTCTATTCTCATAGGTGCTGAAGAACTTGTCCATGGGAATGCGCAGTAGCNTGTTTTGCAGGTTTCTCAGAAATTTGAAAGTGCGTTGGCTATCACTTCGATAGTTGATATTTGAAATGAACTTGTCGAAGGAAGTCCGTTTTGCTTGTAAGATGGCTTGCCTTAGGACAGCTGATTGTCGTCTCCAGGCTTTTACGTCTTCCGTTCTCCAGTCTGATCAGTAGTGTTGCGAAGGGCGTCCCTCTTTCTGTTCAGTTCCTCAAGGTGTTCAGACCAAAACACTCGATAGTGTTTAGTCTTGCCTCGGGGAATAGTTTTCTTTGCACATCTGATCATAATATTCGTGATATCATTGCAAAGTTTGCCAGGATGTTGTTTGAATTTGAGGGGACTTGTGTGAAGTTCATTGTCTAAAAGGTTAGTGAATATAGGCCAGTCAGCCTTTTTGAAGTTCCCTGATAGCTTAGTTGGCACTTTCCATGTCATGCTTTTGCTGCCGAAGGTAATACTAGCAATGACTGGTTTGTGACCAGAACCAGGATCGCCAATTATTTTGCGGCGTGTATGCTCACTGATGTCGCTTGAAGCCAAGAGTAAATCAGGAGTTGTTCTGGTTCCATTGTAGTGCAGATATGTAGCAGGATCTCCATTGCTATAAATAAGTTCCAGAGGGTTGCTGTTTAGCATGTCTTCAATTTCCTTGCCAGCTATCTTCCTATTCTTATAGCC